ACTCACTGAGGATAATGAGGATTCCCAGAATGAAGAGGATCCCGGCTATGGTGAGGCCTCCGATCCGCAGGGATTGGTAATCTGCAGGCAGGCGTGTGGAGGGTGAGAGCGGGGAGAGGAGGACAGCAGCCGATTGGGAAGGTGTGGGCAGGGCAGGAAGAAGGAGGAGAGAAGGCAGGCGATGAAAAGGGGTAGGGAGGTAGAAAAGGAGAGGAGGCCGCAGGGAGGTGGGCTAGGGTTAGGGTAGGTGGAGGAGGGAAGGAGGAAAGGGCAGGAGGCAGCTGAGGGTGGGCTAGGTAAGACTGGGTCAAACTGAGAGAGACAGTGAGATCAAACAGAAGCAGACACAGAGAGGGACAACCAGAGAAGGGAGAGGAGGCAGTCAGAGCAAGAGAAAGGACACAAATATAAACCAAGAAAACGGGAGGGCAAACCCAGGCCCTCTCTCCAGCTCTCCTCACCATAGGTGAATGGGTCGTGTTCCTGTGGTGCTTCTGGAATGAAACAGAAATCAGGGGTTAAATGCTTCTTGGGATCTTGGACCAGAAAGAGCAGAAGAGCATGTCAGGGCTGTACCTTCCTGGGCTGAGAATTTGGGGGTCTGGGACCACAGTCAGGCTGCCCACCCCCTCTGGGTCCTAGCTGTGCCCCTCGTTACTGTCCTGGGTGGGGTGGGCCCATCTCGCCCCAGCACTCTGATGTCTTACAGGTTGTCTGCCACTCCATCATTCGGTCAGGGAGCCAGCTTCCATGCCACCCTCTCCTTTGCCTGACCTGGGGCACCTCTCCCCTCATCTAAATTCCAGCCTGCGATTGAACCCCGTGTGGAGACCTCCAATTTTCTGGTGTTCCAACTGAGTTTATTTAGGGTGGGGTCTTCCACTCGGTTCCTGAGCTGTGGCCCACCCCCGACCCTCAAGGCCTCCCTTTACTCACCTGCATTGGCGATGGTGAAAAGCAGAAAGACAACCAAGACATCACTGAGGGATGCCATCGTTCTGAGAGACAACCAAGGGACAGGCAGTGTCCTCTCACCACCACCGCTGGCTCCAAAGGGTTAAGTCAGAGACAGTCTAAGGACTGAATCACGAAAGTGTTGGTTACCCAGCTTAGTTGCCTGAGAAACAAGCTTCTCAGATCGGGACCATTTCACCAAAGCAACTCACATAAAGGGGATCACATGCAAGGCAACACAGCAAAGTTAGGGGTGAGACACTCGGTCCACAGACATCTCTCAGGGCCGGGAATCCCCAAATGTACCCCAGCAGGTGAGGCAGAATGCTGCCTCACACAGGTGGAGAGACCGACACTCCAGAGACAGCAGGACACACCCCAGTCCCACCTGCCCCCCAGGATGGCCTTGCTGCATCAGGACAATTGCCGCTCTCCTGCCCTCGATGCCCGCCCTCTGTCTACTTGACCCTGGGTATAAATATCTCCCACTTCACCCTGGAGGAATTCGCCTCTAGGGCCACTATGGCAACAGCTTTCCTCCCCCCACTAGGGGGTCAAGCACAACTCTGCTGGGTGAGGCCCAGCTGCCACAAGGCCATAGGCTGCCCCTCAGGGCAAGGCCACCCAGCCTACTCTCCTGGGGCTGTGAGAAAAGGGAAAACACTCCCTCTGCCTGCCTCCGTTGACATCTTTCATAACTAGACAACACCAGGCGAGTAAAATGAGGCCCACGCTTGTGGGCCTGGCAGAGAAAAGCCAGATGCCAGAGCCAGGGACATACTTGCAAGCTTGCATGTTCACACACACACACACACACACACACACACACACACTGAGTGGGGCTGGGGTAGAGTCAGACAACACCCTTTCCCCCAACTGCTAGTTGGAAAAAGATGGGATGTAGGCACAGCTGGACACACACAAAACCTCCCCAGGTCTCCAGTTTCCCCAGACGGTGACCCAAGCAGATCTCCATGTATTTAAACCCCACGCCCAGCCAGGGGACTCACACAGCAGCGAGGGGAGGAGTCGCACCCTCACTCTCACACGCCTGCAAAGCCCCAGTGTCACCACACTCCTTCTGGGGCTAGGCCCGCCTGGGAAGCACAGGCGGCCTGTCCTGCTCCCAAAATAGGCTGCCAGGCCAGGGGAGGGAGGAGGTCTGAAGGGAAGGGGTGGGGAACGCTCACCCCAGTCAGGCTGTTCCCTGCTGAAAGAAGGCCCCCAAATGTCCGGCTGTGCCCCTGAGGGCTGAGCACTTTGGACCCCCTGGCCCAGTGCTGGATGCGCCACCCTGGGCAGGCTCCCCTCCTGGCCCCACCCCACCCCTACCCTCCCTAACCAGCAGCTGTAACTGGAGCCCAGGCTGGAGGGGGGCCAGGGGGCGGCCCCCAGCCCAGCCCGCCCAAGCCTGCTGTGTTAACTCTCTCAGCTCATACTAAGGAACAGCAGGCAGGGAGCGCAAGCACGCACAGACACACACACACACAGACACACACACTTACACACACACGCATACCCTCACCTTGGCAAAGAGTCCTGAGCTGGGGCAGGGCAGTGACTTTTGCACTGCTCCCTGGGAGTTGGGCCCAAGTGGGGCCTAAGGTCAGGCAGCCCAAGTGCTTAGGAGCCCACTCACCCCTGACCTCCATATTCCATGAAACCTTTGACAGTACTGTAGGGCTGTTTGTGATCAAGGGTGGGGAGTTCGTGTGTATGCATCTGTGTGTGTGCTGTGTGCTGCTGACTAGAGTTCCACCAGGGATGCACCACACACACACACACACACACACACACACACACACAGCTGCAGAGAAACTCAGACACAGGCACACAACTAGCATGTCTCATACCAAACACAAAAGACAGAGGTAAACAGGTCTGTGTACATGCACATCCCCACACTGACGGATTTCTATACAGACACTGAAAGCTACACATCCGTCCACTTTTACAAACAGAAACAAAGATACATATTTTTGTGAAGATGTGTTCACCAATGGCCCTACAGAAATACACAGGACACATAAAGGCATTCAAAGACACAGACATAGCTAGCAAAGACCTTGTGTACACGCAGAGCACATTCCATGGCCACACAGAAGCTGATAGTGTCAAGGAGTCTACTGTATAGCCAGCCACTCTGTCCCAGAGCCTCCACACACAGACATACACTGCACTCACACCTCACGCACGGGCAGACAGCACACGGCTGACCACACAATCGCAGGCACAACAGTCCAACACGCTGGGCTCACACTCTAGAACCACAGAGACATGTTGAACCCTGAACTTTTCTCTCCCTGAGCTTCTGTGGCCCTATGAAGAAAACATTTCTGGTGTCCTCCTGCATAGGCCCTGGTGACAGAGAAACCTAAGGTCAGGATTGGACTTTGCACTCCTGATTGTGGAATCTTGGGCAGCCGTTGGGACTTCTTTGTCCTTTATGTTCTTGGGTTATAAAATGGAGAAATAGTGAAAAGCATACGCATACCCCTGGCCCATCTCAGAGGTCTCTGAACTTGACATTGTCTTAACAGCTCCATGCTAGAGATAGAAGCACTGAGGTTTAGTCAAAAGGAGCTAATTCTCGAGAGCTCCCCCTGGCGGAAAGCGATAGAAATTCCCCCACACTTATGTCAAAAGCCTGCCCAGATACCACAGTCTGCAGGACAGAATCAAGAGCACACGCCCAGGTTCACACTCATGTGTGGGTAATACACATACACACACACGTGTGCCTGGTCTCAGAATGCTGTCAGCTTCCAAAGGCTCCCATATCTCTGTGTCTGAGCCCTCTCAGCCTCTGCCCCCTGTGGCCCCGCACCCCAGGGTCACCAGCAGTCCCTGGTTAATGATAACCCTTCTGTTCATGCAGCACTGGGGAGGGGGGACAGAGCACAACAAGGAGGGGCATCTGGCCAGCTCTTGGCTGATCCAGCTTCCTTCCCTGATGGATCCAGCTCTGAAGCATTAATGGTTCCCGGGTGGAAAAGCTTAGGGCTATACAGCTGCTTCATGTTACCAGTGACTTAACCTCTCTGCCACTCAGCTGCTCCCTTTGTAAAATGGAAAGGAAAAAAGTATCCACCTCAGAGGGAGGTGGGGTGATTACCCGAACAGTCTAGAGCAATGAGAACAAAACCTGGAATACAGTAAATGATTTTTTAAAATTAATTGTCTAGCAGGGCATGATGGTGCACGCCTCTAATCCCAGCACTTTAGGAGGCTGAGGCAGGAGAATCACAAGTCTGAGCCCAGCCTGGACAGCCTAGCGATTTAACGAGAACCTGTGTCTAAATAAATAAATAGAGCAGGGATGTAGCTCAGTGCAAAGGCCCTAGGTTCAATCCCCAGTACTGCGAAAAAGAAAGCTGTCGTCATCATCAAGGTTGCCCTTCTCACACACACTGGAGGGAAGACACCGCTGGGCCAGGTGTGTTGTCAGTGTGGTCTCAGGCCTGTCTTTGTCTTCTCTGTGTCTCTGGCATCAAGCTCTTTATTTGCACTTTCAAAGGCCCCATAAAGACTTTTATCACACCTGCTTTTCAGCTGGGGAAGCCGAGAGCCAAGGAGCCTGGCTCAAATCACAAGCTGTTTGGGTGCAGGACTAGGACCTGGAGCCAGAGTTTGGCCCCAAACCTCCTGACCACTTCGGGGTACCCACTCTGTGCTGAACCTCAAGGCGATGCATTAATCATCACACTGAATCCTCTCTTCAAACTGGAAAGTGGGTGTTAGGAATGCGCCCGTTTAACATGTGGGAAAAATGAGGACCTGAGGCCAAACAGGACTGGGCTGGACCCTGGATCTCTACCTCCTGGTTGGTGCTGTTAAACCTCCAATCCTCCAAGTCTTTGTGGGTGTGCCCCCCAGGGCAAGAGAGGCCGTATGTGTTCCTGGGTCTAGGGTGTGTCTCTTGATCCCAGGCGATAGGGGCACCATGAGACTATGTAACCTCCTTGTGCCTCAGTTTCCCCATCTGTGAAGTGGGCATAGTAATACCACCCATTTCACAAGGTTTCTGCGATTACTTAGTTCATGGTAAGACAGGCTTGTTGTAAGTACTCAGGAAATATTACTAGGTCACATTGGGAAACCAGTTTCAGTTTTTGTATTCTTCATATTTCATGAACAGCCAATTATTCATGAATTCTGATCTCCAAAGAAAGAAACAAAATAACATGGAGAGATCCTGGAACCAGCAGCCTGGGTTTGAAGCCTGGCTCTGCTGCCAGCTGGATCTCGTGGAGCTCAGGTTGCTTGATTTCTGTCCTCAGTTTCTCCAGCTGTAAAACAGTGATGAGAATAGAATGGAGCCCGGAGGGCCGTGGTGAGATGAAAGTCAGTAAGTAACGCTGAGGCACAGAGTCGTGCTGAAGAAAGAGGTGACAGCATTGTGGTTGTGTATTTCCTGGGGCTGAGTCTCAGTGCCAAATGTGCTTGGGCTTTTGAAGGGTTAATCTCAGGGGAGAGGAGGAACGTCCAGCATTTGGGGCAGGGCAGTGGTCCTTCCAAGGGTGGCCACCAGAGGGAGCAGCTGGACCTGAGCTGGCCCCTCCAAGCCTAGGGGGACAACAACCACCACACCCTCCGGAGCCTGGGGAAGGAGCTGGCCGGGAGTGGCCAGGACGGCCCTTCAGCCCCAGAAGCTTTTCCTCCCACCCCTCCTCCAGTCTGCACAGCCATCCAGCCCCCCCCCCCAGTGACATCCTGGGCAATCTGGGGAGGGGGCTGGCTGGGAGTGGCCAGTGTGGCTCCAGCCCTGGGTGGCCCCTCCCCGTCCCGAAGAGCCGTTCAGTCCCTTCCCCAGGGCTGCTCTTCCTATGGCCTCTGACCCCCTCCTCCTTACTCCACTCTGCCTGGCACACCCTGGGCCCAGCACGTCCCTTTCCCAAATCTTCAGGGAAAAGGGGCGTGGGAGAAGGCAGAGAGTACTGGGCTCTGGAAGAGGGGGCAGGGAGCTGAGAAATAGACACCAGGCAAAGGCACACACACACACACACACACACGCACACACACACGCACACACACACGCCAACAGAGACCTAAAGAGACAGAGACAGGGAAGCAGAAACAAAGATAGAAACAGGGATCAAGATCGAGAGGGAGAAACAGACTAACAGGGAGGGAGAGGCAGCAAGACAGGGAGAGAGAAAGAAAATCAGGCACCAGAGAGGTGGAGGGAGAAGGGCAGGCTGTGAGCGCCAGGGAGCCAGGGCAGAGCTCCCTGTGGCAGATGCAGGGGCGCTGGGCACAGGAGATGTAGTGGCCCCGGCAAAACTGGGTCTGAATCAAGTGGGGGAGGGGCATGGCAGGGACAGGGACTCTGCTGCTGCGGCTGCTGCTTCTGGCTGGGGCTGGAGTGGGGGTGGCCTGGAGACCCCCCAAGGGAAAATGTCCTCCACGCTGCTCCTGCTCCAAGGACAGCGCCCTGTGTGAGGGCTCCCCGGACCTGCCTGAGAGCTTCTCCCCAACGCTGCTGTCACTGTGAGTGTCAGGGCCTCTGTGGGCCTGAAGGTGAGGACAGGAGTCCTGGAACCCCAGAGGTGGGGGTGGGATGCCTCGGTCCCCAAGGAATCAGGAACCTATCAGGATCTCGGGCAGCACGGGATGTCAGAATGCATGAAAGGGGGCTGCTGGGATTTGGAAGGGTGCAGGGGGACTTCTGGGGCCCAGCAAGGAGGGCAGTGGCCCTGGGATGTAACAAAGTGCACCCTGGCTCCGGTCATGGGCTCCTAGAGAACGGGGACCTTTGGTTCAGGACCAGACTGTTGGAGGGAGAGTTTTCCTCACCCACTCTTGCCCATGCTCATCCCCAGCTCACTCGTCAGGACTGGAGTCACCCAGCTGAAGGCCGGCAGCTTTCTGAGGATGCCATCCCTGCACCTGCTGTGAGTAGGGCCTGGCTGGGCCAACCCCAACTGCAGGGCGTGGGTATTCACACGTGGGCCTGGGGAGGGAGTGTGTACAGAGGCTGGCAATGGCCAGGCCAGGTTCTTAGACGTGCAAGGCTGTGAACACACATGTTTGTGAAAGTGTCTGTATCAGTGCACACACACACCCACATACAAGTGTGTGTGTGGGCTCAGGGTGGGGCAAGATTAGGGTGACTAATAAGCACCCCCACTCTAGAAAATTCTATCTTGCTCCCTGGCCAGCCTCTTCACATCCAACTCCTTCTCTGTGATTGAGGATGATGCATTTGCCGGCCTGTCCCACCTGCAGTACCTGTGAGTGAGCCCAGGGGCTGCGAGGAGCAGCAGGGGTCTCTCTGTGGCTTGCAGAGTCGGGGAGGTTGAGTCTGGGCCCTGGAGATATTTGGAAATGGTTTAAAGAAAAGTTTCCTGAAAGGTCTGGGGATGTAGCTCAGTGCAAAGGCCCTGGGTTCAATCCCCAGTACGGCAAAGAAGGAGGGGGAGGGGAGAGAGGGAGGAGGAAGAAAAATATGGCAGCCCCAGCAGCCGTGGTGCTAGGGTGATAAAGTCTACGGGGCAGTGTCAGTGCTGGGCGTCAGTGCGGTGGGAGTTGGTGATTCTGGCACTGGGAATGGCTGTGAGGAGGACACTGGCATTGGTGTTAATGACCGCCTGCCATAGTGGACGCCGAGTCTGTTGGTGATGGTGAAAGTGTCGGTATTGATGAGGGAAGACACTGGCGGTCGGGGTGCTGGAGTGGGTGACGTGCACACTGGGAATGACAGGGCTGCCGGTCTGCGGCGGCGGTGGCAGGGCCGGTGATGACGGTGGTGGTCATTCGGTGTTGATCGCGAAGGCTGCATTGGCGACCCTTATCGCCGGTGTTGGGATGGAGCTGGGTAGGGACGACAGGGGAAGAGGTGGCGGCCTTGGTGACGATGCGGATATGGCAGTTACTGGTCCTGGGGTAATAGAAGCGCAGGTGAGAGGCCAGTGCTTTTGTTGGCGACAACGGCACAGCGTCCATGGTGAGGCTGCCGAGGATGGCAGGGCAGGTTCTTGGCTCCTGGGATGGTGGGCTGGCCTTCCCTGGGGTCGGCGAAGGCGGGGCTCGCCTCCCCGAGCACCGTGGTCCGCCCTCACCCACCTTCCCCGCACAGCTTCATCGAGGACAACAGCATTGGCTCCATCTCCAAGAACGCTCTCCGAGGACTGCGCTCGCTCACACACCTGTGCGTGCCCCGCCCGCCCAAAGGCACCCACCCTCACCCCAAGGACACAGTCTCCTGGCAGCTGCTGACCGTTCCTCTCCTCTCTCTCCGACAGAAGCCTGGCCGACAACCACCTGGAGGCCCTGCCCAGGTTCCTGTTCCGAGGCCTGGAGACCCTGACCCACGTGTGAGTGAAGGGGTCTGGGCGTGTGGGGTGAGAACCTGGGCGTCATCTGGGCCCACTTCGGGTTGGCGCGGGAGCGCCCCTGTGAAGACGCTCACCTTTTTTTCCTGCACCCCAGGCATGCTATCCTAGACCCTTGCCTGGGGAGGAGCCAGGGAACTTGGCCCCAGAGGGTGGAAGCCAGGTTGTAGCCTCCCCGGCCTCTTGCCCCAGGGACCTCCGCGGGAACCCGTTCCAGTGTGACTGCCGAGTCCTCTGGCTGCTGCAGTGGATGCCCACCGTGAACGCCAGCGTGGGGACCGGGGACTGCGCGGGCCCCACCGCCCTGACCCACATGCAGCTCCGACACCTGGACCCCAAGACGTTCAAGTGCAGAGGAATAGGTGGGGGCTTCAGAGGAGTGGGAGGGACAGCAAGGGTCCCAGGGGAGAGCAGGAGAGCAGAGGCAAAGGCTGCCAGGGCTGCAGCACTGACCTCACCCGCTGCTCTGCCACTTCCTGGCTGGGAGACCCTGAGCACGCAGCGTTACCGACGGAGCCTCAGTTTCCTCATCTGTGAAATGGGAGTAATAAACAGAGACAGAGGATTGCTGTGAGGATTGAATGATACGGCCTGGAACCGGAGGCCCTTAAATGTTCACTCTCTCTAATATCAAACTGACCACTTTAAAAATTCTTCCTTCGTGCCAAGAACTGTGCTGGGACCTGCATGTGCCATGTCACTCCACTTATTTTACCTTCCTTTTGCTTTTCTACAAATGCATTTTGGTACCTTTCTGGGTGCAGGGCGGGGCAGAGAGAACAGCAGTGGTGAATGCAGCCCCTCACAAAGCCCATGGCCCAGAGAAAAGCAGGGAACCCAGAAGCCACCAGACGGTCAAAGCCAGCAAAGGGAAGGCGCAGAGAGAGGGGTTGCCCCAGTGCACTGTCGGCCATGGGAGCTTGGAGCCAGGGCCTCACAGAACGCGGGTCCAAAGGGCTTCCTCCAGGGGGGGACCTGAAGGCCTTGACACAGATGCTGTGGATAAAATAACAATAGTAACAGCAGTAGCTGGGCATAGTGGTACCTGCCTGTAATCCCAGTACTCTGGGAGGCTAAAGCAGGAAGATCACAAGTTTGAGCCCAGGCGGGGTGACTTAGCAATATCCTGTCTCAAAATAAAAGGGAAAAGAGGCTCAGGATGTCGCTCAGTGAGAAGGCCCGGGTTCGATCTCTAGTACCACAAAAATAGTAGTAGTAGTAATTATTATCTGTAATACACATGTTTTTTGGTCTGTGGAACTCACAGAATGGGGGATTTGACTCAAGACTTGCTGTTTTGCTTTTGCTGTGTTGGGGTCTAAGTCCAGGGCTTAGTGTGTGCTAGGCTTTACCGCCAAGTCAGACCCCAGCTCAGAGGTCACTCTTTACTGAGTTATTCAACAAACATTCAGTGAGGCCCACGTTGTGCCGGGCCCTACGAGAGGTGATGGGTGCACCAGTGACCAAAATCCCTGGGAGCTTGGGGCAGCAGGCACGGAATAAAACCTGGCCCAAGTAAGTGTGTGCTGCATGTTGTGATGAATACAGGGGACAAGAGAGTGAGAGAGAGTCCTCTGTTATGGGGCGGTCAGATAAGGCTTCTCTGAAGAGGGCACACTAGGCCTACATTCAGCTAGGGGGAAAAGAGAGGGAAGGACATTCTGCAGAGGGGCCAGCATGAGCAGTGGCCCTGGGGCAGCCTACAGCCTGTCCGGTTTAATGACCCATAAAAAGCAGATGTGCTGCGGGTGCTGAGTGAAGAGAGGGACACCATGAGGTCAAAGGTGACAGGGCCTCACTGTGCAGGACTTTGAAAGCCAGTTACCATGGAGGCTAAACTATGCTAACAAAGAGGCTCAAAAAGCCATGAGTTAGGGAAGACAGATGGGCTCAAGATGAGCTGTCCAGGTGGATGGAACAGCTCCTGTACAATATCCTTGTTTTTGTGGTCGAAGCCAGGCTGTGACGTATCCCTATATCAGCTGTGAGAAGAAAGGGGAGGAAGGGGACAAGTCCCGGACAAGCCATTTTCACACAAGCAAGTTATACTTCTGCTCTTGTCCCTTGGGAACTTTGGTCCTGACACGACCACACCTAACTTCTAGGAGGGTGTTGGTAGGGGTGCCAGGGTAGTGTGGCTTCCGGCTGTGCAGTCTCCGAAGATGAGAGGGGTGCGATTTTGTAGGACAGCTGGCTTCCTGGGGCGCTTAGCCCCAGCTTCCTCATCTGTGAAGTAGAGGTCATAACAGAATATACCTCACAGGAAAGCCATCAAGTTAAATGAATGACTACCTGTAATCCCAGCACTCCAGGAAGGAGGGGAAGAAGGGTCCCATGGTCAAAGCCAGCCTGGGTAACTTAGCAATTTAGCATGGTCTTGTCTCAGAATAAAAAATAAAAGGAGCTGGGGATGTGACTCAGTGCAAAAGTTCACTCTGAGTACCACAAAAAAATTAAACATGCTGTTTCTGAGGGATTACTTAATGATATCGAACAGCTCAGAAAATATAACTCATGCTGTGAGTTAGTAAATCTATAGATAAAAAAGATTTTTTCCTATTATATATCCCTACAAGTTGAACGCCATGAATGGCCCTCATTGCAGAGATAGGTAAACTGAGGCTCCGTGAGGACCCTTGGGGTCTCCTGGGCCCCCTAACCCTCCCATGCCACCACCCCCAGAGCTGTCCTGGTTCCAGACAGTCGGAGAGTCAGCACTGGGTGTGGAGCCCTTCTCCTACCAGGCAGAGCCCTACGTCGTTCTGGCACAGCCCTTTGCAGGCCGCTGCCTGATCCTCACCTGGGACTACAGCCTGCAGCGCTTCCGGCCCGAGGAGGAGCTGTCAGGTGAGCCCCCTTGCTGTCCTTTCCTGCCTGCCCCCAGCCTTCCCCGCAGGCCTGACTGCCTCTCACTGCCCACAGCGCCCTCAGTGGTGTCCTGCAAGCCACTGGTGCTGGGCCCACGTCTCTT